TTCCTGAGCCTCAATTTAGCAATATTGGTTTTTAAATCAATCATATAGAATTCCAAACACCACAGAGGAGCTCGTCCCCACAGTCATGTGTAAAGACTGAGGCCATATTTTAAAGAAAAAAACATGTTTTTCTGCACGTTTCATCTACAATAATCTATACATGACTATGGAATATATGATTTAAATCACATAAAGAAAACAAATAAATCTTTATAAAATATATAATGAAAGTTGTTGTCCCCAGGAGTCGTGTCACTGGTGTTACCAGGTAACAAAAAATCTCTTATTCTGAAATAAAAGTCACACTGATGACATCACTCGACTTCCTTTTACCTGTTTTCTGAGGATCTATGAAGAAAAGCACATGGTGAGTCCACTGTGTCTTTCAGTTATCAGAGATTTTCTCATTTAGCTCATGATTTCATATGAAGCTTTTAGCTGAAGTCACTGGTGTGACCCGACTTTATTCTGAGGTCATTGTGAAAAAACAGAACACAAATGGATTAAATTCCATATTTTAGTGGATATTCCATGATTCCATGTGGTTTGATGCTCTGTAGCAGCCACTTTTTAAAATGCATTGCTCATTAAAATGTCTCTGGTGTTCCTTTATTATGTGGAACACCAATGAGGATCAGTAACACCAGTGACTCCTATGGAGAGACAGAAAAGTGGACGTTTCTGTAGAATGACCCATATATATATTCAAGATGCCTTATCAGTATGTGTTATTATCTGTGTTCAGTTGAGTGTAATGAAGGTTCCAGATGTAACTAAACGTTCTTCTGTGATCTGCACTGTACTTTACATTAACCATGTACGTCTGCAGTCAGACTCTCACACACAATGTATTTCACATAAACAAGATATCAGATCATCACTGCATTTTCACAGAGTATCAATACCCACAACACTCGCTTCTGTCCTGTTAAAGGATCATTTGATCAGATTTAAAATGAAGATACTGGAACACAAACTCATTTCTAAAGGTATCAGACAGTGAAGAGCATCAGACAGGATTTTGGCCATTTTCATCAATTTTTAAATGGATTTTATTGGTATGTTTATTTTTGTATGGTACATTTCTATGTGTAATATTTTAAATAAAAGCATTTAAAAATATATTTGGTTAATATGCAATATATTACATTTTAGTGTAATGTATGTAAATCTATTTCAAATATATAAAACACACATCCGTATACTTTTTTCCATATGGTTTCAGACGTGTTTTGGCTAATTGACTACATTCGCGTGATTTTTCGACAAACTATGACTTTAAAGCGTGAATCTTCACTACCACCGACAGTTTTCTCAGCCCGATTTGGTTTAAAGTCCCGTAGTTAAAGGCCAGAACACGTTTCGCGAAAGTGCCCTAGCGTAAACATCATAATAGCATGTAGCGCCTCTAATTTCCGAGCGTTAGCCCTCAGACTGCTTTATCTAAAGCCCGTCGTTAGACAGAACCTGTGTGAATCAAAGGCGAGTGGTGTTCTGTATCTGTAGATGTAAAGTTTGTGCTCCTCTCCGCTGTCTGAGTCTCGGAGGCCTGTTGGGTCTTGCCAGGTGGAGGCCAGGCCGGGGGAGCTGAATGCTAACGTGACGCGCTAGGAGGATAAGCCCATCTCTGAAGTGAGGGAGGTGGTTAAGTGGAGAAACCTCAGGGAGAAAAAAGCCGCCCGGGGCTGTTTCTCGTCTGCTGATCTCAGTGAGGTCGTAATTCACCTCCACGCGCCGCGTCTCATCAGCGACCGCGCTAAAACGCAGCGCTAAACACAGTGCTAACGGAGTCAGTATGTGATCTGGTCCAGACAGCAGGGGCATAGAGGGTCTTTAATCAGGGAGTTAGACAAAATTCCCACTTTTCAGTGCTTGTTTTCCACTCAGTCCGATTTACTGAGTTTTCCTTCATTTCTTTCTTTTTATTCTTTATAAATTAGTAAATATTTGTAATCTAACACAGTGTCAGCAAGAAGGTCTTACGCTAAATCATTTTATATCAGGCCTTGTCATTCATTTCTTTCCTCTGAGTACTTTTTATATTTGTCTTAGTTTATTTTCCAAAATAAAAGTCTGTGTGCATTTAAAATCTGTTTGAGAAGCTTAAAAACTGGTAAGATCTGAGGGGTCCGAGGGTGGACCAGCAGTGGCATACAGTCAGCAGGCTGCCACCTTCACCATTTTTAGTCACCTTTGACCTTAAATTTGAATTTTTATCCATAGTGCTCGATGTATTAGATGAGATATGATCAATTATATCTAAGTAGAATTGGTTATGACTCTGTATGACACACTGTCATCTATAAACATGGACTAAAGTACATCAACTGCAGAGAAACTGTACTTATGTGAAAATGTGTCAAAATCCTGTCTAATAGTAAAAATAAAGTAAGTTAATGTGGTTGTTCCATATGAAATTCTGATATATGCCAATATATGGGTTCCAAATATACGACATATATTAAAACACATGGATTTCTCCTACATCCACCTTATATATGCCAAATATAGACATATATGTTATACACCAACATCTTTGAAATTGGCTGTTTTTACTTATTGGGCATATATGAACTTTTATAAACATATATGTGTAAAATATTTACCAATATATGATAGAAAACATTATTTCTATATGGATGGCATACATTACTCATATTCTAGCTTCATACTATTACAATTAGTATAATAGCTACATAACTGAACTCTGAAAACATGCACACTGTAAACTGGCAATAAAATCATTAAAACATGAAATAAATTAAAATATTGTTTCCTGACACATTTAAATAATTTAATATTAAATAAATGTATCATTACACAGATGACATGGTAACATGTATAGTGTACTGAGATGTATTCAACCATGTTTCAGGCATATATGTATGGTTCATGTGCATATATGTCCAATATTTGATGCTTAAATATACATACACAACATGAAAGTAGATATATTTTGAAATATAAATATGTCAACCTGGGCCTTTATGGTATATGTGCATGTATGGCCATATATCAGATTTCCATAGGTATAGGCAGTTTCCTTCATACACTGTCATGAATTTGAGGTCATCCAAATTAATACCTAAGTACAACCTAAGTATTACATTAGCATATATAAACCAGTATTAGTATCCATGTAGAAGCCTGTACTTGTGTTTATAGATGTTTATAGATAACAGTGTGTCATACAGTGACAATATCAAGCCTGTTAGAGATTATTTAACTGTGTGATGATTCAGCCATGCAGTTAGCAGCATGCTAATTTGGTGGAATATAAGCTTCGATGATTTGTTAGCAACATTAGCCTCGTAGCTCCAGGGCTAAAGCTAAAGAAGCAACCTTCAGCCACCTGGCCGATCGACTACGTTTGGGTTTAAGGAGGGAAATTGTGTAAATATGATTTTCCTCCACTTTACGTAGAGCCGCCCGAGGCCGTTTCACGTCCTCTTATCTTGGTTTCAGGCCGTAACTCTCCTGCGCGTGCCTCGTTTCCTCATCCTCAGCGCCGACGGTGTTGATATCACTCCTCTGGACGCAGTGAGTTCCAGCACGTCCTCCTTTGAAAGCGCAAGGCTCTGTTGATGTGGCGGTGGAAAATCTGAGAGTGTTATGATGGCAGGTGCGATGCAGCAGATAGGAGCCCTCATGCGCTGCGTGTGGAGGCTTGTATGCGTCCACAAAGAGACGAGCGATTAGCAGGTAGAAGTCACGTAAGCAGCGGAGGATTATCTCTGACCAGATCACTGATAGTGGCTGAGGGGAACGTGATACACTCCTGCTCACTCAGATAGACTGTTTTAACACACAACAACACAAACAAGCAAAACCCACAACATAATGTTGTAAGTAAGGCTGGAAAATAAATGTTTTACTATGTTTAATATGTAAATATATAAAATATATATTAGACTAAAGAGCGGACCAACATGGCAAATGAGTAGACGCCAGTCTAAAAAGTGTAAAAGTAAATTTCCATGGAAATTCTTCAAATTAAAAAAGCATCTACTAAGAAAATGTGTGATTTTGTTTTAAAAATACTTTGATGTTTCGGGGGTTCACACTGTGTTTGAACTGCCTGGATTGGGTCCAGTTGGGACAGGTTGGATCGGATTGGGCCAGTTTGTATTGGGTTAGATTTGACTGGGTCTAATCTGACTAGGTTGGATCCAGTTGGGACAGGTTGGATCAGAATGGGCCAGTTTGGATTGGGTTAGATTTGACTAGGTTTAATCTGACTAGTTAGCGTAGGTTGGATCGGATCGGGCCAGTCAGGATTGGGTTAGTTTTGACTGGGTCAGGTCAGGTTGGGTCGGATGTTACTAGATTGGGTCCAGTTGGGATAGGTTGGTTTGGATTGGATAAGTTTGGATTGGGTTAGATTTGACCAGGTCAGATCTGATGGACTGGATTGATTTTTAGTGAAATGTTAGATTGGATTGGGTCAGATCAGAATAGGCCAATTTGGTCTGGGTTAAATTTGATTGGGTCAGATGAGGTTGGGTTAGATCAAACTAGGTCAGATGTGACGGGATTGCGTTGATTTTGGGACAGATTGTGTTGGATTGGGTCAGATCTGACTGGATTGGGCTGATTTTGGGTCAATATTGATCATTATTAGTATAAATTATGTAACGTATTGTTGCAGTTAGCCTCTCTGAGTGCACTGTGAGTGTTGTCACTGCTAGATTTGGACAAAAGGTTGAAAGGCCAGCACATTTTCAGTGTGTGACTTCATCAGGGAGAAACTGTTAAACTGAGTTAGCCTCATAACTTTTATAGAAGTGACAGTAAAGCTGGGTTTGTTGAGGTTTTTTGAGCCAATTTAAAAAGCTGATTCCAGTAATCCCACAGACACAAAGCTGGAATTAACTCTGCTTTCCAGAATGGAAAAGAAGAACCGCACTAAATGTGGGTTCAGCAAAAATGTGGAAAATTGTTCTTCAAGATGATCCTGTGTTCTGCGCAGCGTGTTCATGTGTTCTCTTTTCTCCCTGCAGGTTCGGATCTGCAGGTGTGCATGTCCCGGAACCTGACGTGCTGTACGAGGAAGATGGAGGAGCGCTACCAGTTCACTGCACGGAGGGACATCCAGAACCTTCTACAGACGACCAGTTCCAGCCTCAAAGGCCACATCACACACAGTGTCGCCGGGTTACAAGGTGAGGGCTGCGTTGGTGTCAGATTTGACTGGAATTGGTTGGGTTGCGATGTGTTGAAATGGATTGAATCAGATGAGACTGGGTTGGATCTGATAGGATTGGGTCAGGTTTGGATCTGTTAGATCCGATTAGGTTGAATTTGATAGGATTGTAACTGTTAGGATCGGACTGGGTCAGATCAGATTGGGTTGGTTGGGATGAGTTGGATCAGACTGGGTCAGATCAATTTGGGCCAGCTCTGAGTCAGGTTGGGAAGGGTTGGGGCAAGTTTGATCAGACTGCATCGAATCTGATTGGGTCATTTCCGACTGTATTAGGCTGGTTTGGAATGAGTTGGATCAGAATAGGTAAGATCGGAGTGGATCCTCTTTAATTTGATTAGGACAGGTTCAGATTGGGTCAGATCGGATTGGGTCAGCTTTGACTAGATTGGGTCGGGTTGAGATGGGTTTGGTTTGGACTGGGTCAGATTGGATTGGATCAGCTTTGACAAGATTGGATCGGGTAGGGGCGGGTTGAATTGGACTGGGTCTGATCAGGTTGGGATAGCTCTGACTGTATTAGGTCAGGTAGGGACGGGATGGATTGTAGTGGGCCAGATCGAATTGGGTCAGCTCTGGCTGGGTTGGGTTGGGTTGGAACACATAAGGCCAACTTGGGTTAGACTGGGTCAGATCTGACTGGATTGAGTCAGGTTCGGTAAGTTGGATCATATTGAGTTAAATCTAACTGGATTGGGACCAGTTGTAACTGGGTCAATTCAGATTGAGTTAGATCAGACTGAGTTGAGTCTGGCCTAGAATGTTAAAGCTGTTCTCTTTCCATTGTGTTTCTATTGTATTTTACTGTGGGATGTGTTTTCAGAGAGATGCTGAGATTTACGTCTGTCAGTCTAAACACTCCGCAGCCTCGGATGCCTCGACTTGCTGGTTGTTATGACTGATTATGCTGGAATCTCACAGCTTTTCTGGGACTCTTTCTTTCTGTGTTTTTGTGCTCCGGCTGTGCTGCTTTATGAGCTTTGTGTGGAGTTCTGAATGTTTTCGCTGTAGTGCTGTGATCTGAATCTGCTTGATGTGTCACTGTGTTAGTGTTGGCCTGCGTGACTCAACGCTAAGTCACTCCTGCTGTAGTCTGGCTGTATTACAGGGCCACTCTGAGTTCATTTAAGGCTTTAGAGTCGCGGGCTGTTTTTATGAAGCACGTTCTGGGAGGTTTAATGGCCTTGATGAGACGCTTTGGTGCCCATAACATGCCCACGCACACCTTTGTACAACCTCCCATAGGAACGCTAACGCTAATGCTAACCTCCATTTGATCCCCCTGTCAAACACAAACCTGTAATCTCACAGCAGAATCGACGCCAGAGGCACTTCTGCCCTTTCTCTCTGAAGAGGATCACTGGCTCTCAGGTTTCACCCCTGAACCACGGCAGATGCTTCAGTTACAAAAGGCTAATCCCAGAGCATTTTAGACATTTTTACTGTGGAAAATCTGAGTAATTTCATCTGAAATAAGAAAGAAAAAAAATGGAAAAGTAGACACTTAAAACACTTCATGGGATTCACAAATGTGAAAGTTGTAACTTAATTCAGATACAATATCGTCTCTTTGTTAATGACGCCTTTAGAGGGCGGCGCTGAGCGACGATTGTTTATTTGATGGTTGTTAATGATGCCTTTAGAGGGCGGCGCTGAGCGACGATTGTTTATTTGATGGTTGTTAATGACGCCTTTAGAGGGCGGCGCTGAGCGACGTTTGTTTATTTGATGGTTGTTAATGACGCCTTTAGAGGGCGGCGCTGAGCGACGTTTGTTTGTTTGATGGTTGTTAATGACGCCTTTAGAGGGCGGCGCTGAGCGACGTTTGTTTGTTTGATGGTCGTTAATGACGCCTTTAGAGTGCGGCGCTGAGCGACGTTTGTTTGTTTGATGGTCGTTAATGACGCCTTTAGAGGGCGGCGCTGAGCGACGTTTGTTTATTTGACGGTCGTTAATGACGCCTTTAGAGGGCGGCGCTGAGCGACGTTTGTTTATTTGACGGTTGTTAATGACGCCTTTAGAGGGCGGCGCTGAGCGACGTTTGTTTATTTCATGTTTGTTAATGATGCTTTAGAGGGCGGAGCTGAGCGACGTTTGTTTATTTGACGTTTGTTAATGACGCCTTTAGAGGGCGGCGCTGAGCGACGTTTGTTTATTTGACGTTTGTTAATGACGCCTTTAGAGGGCAGAGCTGAGCGACGTTTGTTTATTTGACGTTTGTTAATGACGCCTTTAGAGGGCGGCGCTGAGCGACGTTTGTTTATTTGACGGTTGTTAATGACGCCTTTAGAGGGCGGCGCTGAGCGACGTTTGTTTATTTCATGTTTGTTAATGATGCTTTAGAGGGCGGAGCTGAGCGACGTTTGTTTATTTGACGTTTGTTAATGACGCCTTTAGAGGGCGGCGCTTTGCGGCGTTTGTTTATTTGACGTTTGTTAATGACGCCTTTAGAGGGCGGCGCTGAGCGGCGTTTGTTTATTTGACGTTTGTTAATGACGCCTTTAGAGGGCGGAGCTGAGCGACGTTTGTTTATTTGATGGTTGTTAATGACGCCTTTAGAGGGCGGCGCTGAGCGATGTTTGTTTATTTGATGGTCGTTAGTGACGCCTTTAGAGGGCGGCGCTGAGTGACGTTTGTTTATTTGATGATCGTTAGTGGCGCCTTTAGAGGGCGGCGCTGAGCGATGTTTGTTTATTTGATGGTCGTTAGTGACGCCTTTAGAGGGCGGCGCTGAGTGACGTTTGTTTATTTGATGTTTGTTAATGATGCCTTTAAAGCCCATTGTTAAACTATTAAACTGTATATCGTATTATTATCTATAAAAGTGGACAAACGCACAGAATTCAGTGTTCCAGGTGGCTGCTACTGTGTTCAGCTACGCTAATGTACTTTAGTCCATGTTTATAGATACAGTGAATCATACAGTGTCAGAAACCACATCAAGTCTATTGGAGATACTGAACATCACACGCTTTGAGACGAGTGACGGTTTAGACAGCAGTTAGCAGTTATGCAGTTAGCACCATGCTGATTGATGCTAATTAGCTCACTAAGGCTTGTTGTTGCCCTGTCTGACCTCAGGCCCACCTCAGGTCTGTTTATTGTATCATATTGAGGTTTGATGTTTGATATAAAGGTTGTATTCAGGGTTTTCCAGCCCTGTGAACCTAAACCTGAAGAAGCGACCTCAGGCCTGTCTTTGCTGACTGGAGTAACTGTTTCATTTTAACCAAAGAGCTGCAGTGGAGTCTGTACAGTTTGTTCAGGGCTCCTGAAACGCTGCGTCCAGACTTCACACTCGGTCAGACGTGAGCTCATCCACCCTCAGAGCGTCTGAACGCTTTGAACTCAGGTGTTCAAACACTGCTGTTTACTCACTGAACTCAGCCTGTGGCTCAAAACCCATCACACTTTCTCACAGCCACATCACTTCAACGAGCTAACATCGTTAACCCTTCACACCTGGACCTACCTGAGCCCGTTAATGCCCACAGACTACGCTCAGCAAGAGGCTCGTTGTGATTGGTCTGAAGCTGGGACTTTGTCTTAGGGGGTCAAAGTAATCTTGGACATTATTACTGTAAAAAATGAAATAATTCAGCTACACTGTGAGTGATATGGAGTCTCACCCTCCAGCTTACGGTTCCCTCATGGTGACATAACCTCCTCACTCTGAACGTCCACTATACACTCTTAAAAATATGGTTCTTCAAGGGTTCTTTAGTAAAGAAAATTGTTCTATATACAACCACAAACACTCAAAGAACCCTGTGCATGCTTAAATGGTTCTGTGCATGTTGAAATCGTTGTTTAAATTAATAGAGAATGTGTTGTTAATGGTTCTATATAGAACCTTTTAGAAAATATATATAGCACCAAAAAGGGTTTGGCTATTGACACAATGCATGAACCTTGTTTGGTGCTATATAGAACCATTTTCTTTATCAAAGAACCCTTGAGGAACCATCTTAAGTGTGTACTGGACAGTGAGTATGTTTACATGCACTCAATCTGATCATAATCTGATTTCTGCAGTTATCTGATTATTCAAACAGTCATGTAAACAGCACACTCTGATTTCTTAGACTGGAGTAAGGTCTAGAAATCCCATTAATAAATATGATAAAGAGGCTGGATTTTAGCTCAGTAATCAGATTTCTCAGTGCTGTAAACTCTTACTCTGATTTCTTTCGGATTTCTCAGTCTGAGCATGTGCGAAGTTTACTATGACGCTAACTTCTGCCAGCAGCCCAGTAGGATTCTAGTAGTTTGTTAGCCCTAAGCTAATGATGATTTGCTTTAAAGGTGGTCTATATTTTACTTGAAGCTTCTAACAGACACATTATCATATCTCTGCTGTCGGATCAAAATCTCATATCTTCATTTTTGACGTTTTTCAGTTTTTGACATAATTTTTAATTGCCTTCTGCCCTTTACAATGTGTGTAAATTTCATGATGGATGGACCAAAAGAAACGGCCCAAAATTACTTGGACAAAATTCTGGTTCCACTCATTTACATTAAAGTGAAGTATGTTTTTTCCTTCTCCTGTAAAGTTGCGATTTTGCTCATACGAGGTTTCGTTCTGACAACAGTGACGTATTTTACCTTTTATCAGTTTTACAGTGACTCTTTCAGTAGTGAGCCACTAATTCATTTACTGATATTCACAGTCAGTGACCTATCTAGAACTTTCAGAAGGACTAGAGTGATGTTTTTTCTGATGAAATTGGTCCCACCCCTTTGGAAATATAACCATGATTGGTTGATTACTCTATTGCTCCATAATTATGCTGATATTTACCTCCTTAAAATCAGTCTTATTACATACTAGGGTTTATTACTCAGTAATAAGCCTTTATAACTCAGTAACTAGTCAGTGGAAACTGGCTGAGCTATTCTCAGAAATCATGAGGTGTTCTCTGAAGCTCTAGAAGGCCCTGAGGGTTCCCCTCTGGT